TAAATACAAGTACGCTATCTTTTTACACTTTGTTTTTTATAAAAAAATTTCTGTACAATCATGTAACCATATAGATATAATTATTAGTCTTTACAATTGTGTAACAATATAGATATAGTTAACGTTAAATATCTGCACAGGTTCAGATAAAGTTAATCTACAATTCTATTTTCAGAGTTCTTAATTTTAATGTGAAAAAAAAAACTAGATACAGTAAAATAACTTATCAATATATATCATTATCCAATTTCTGGCATTGCTACATTTATTATGTCAAAGGAAGGAACGTACGAGAAATTTGATACTATCGACGCAGCGAAACTTGGTATATATACCCTTTCTGAAATCGCAGGATTATATATCCCGATAGTTAGTTATGTGGTAAATATTGTTAAAGAGATCAAAAAAACTTTTAAAAAAGCTCAAAACAACAAAGATATCTGTTTAATATTATTTGAACGAGCTAAAGATGCTGAAAGTGTGATGAACAAGATATTGAATTATAAAGATGATTATGAAGAGTTTTTACGAGAAGAAAAAAGTTACAAAGCTTTTCATAAATTTAAAATTTTGCTGATAAAAATTAAAGATTTTGTAGTTGAAGTTTCAGAACTTAAAAGTGTTAGAAAATTTTTGGATGCTAATAGTGTTAAAAGCACATATGATAAGTTAACGAATGAGTTTGAGACATGCATAAAGGATCTGCATTTCGAGGTGATGATAGTTAATGAAGTACAAAAAAGAAAAGATAATAAAAAAGTTAAGGATGATTTAGAAAAAATGAATAAAGTTTGTATCAACAATTTGTAATAATAAATGTAATATTTTATGATTATAATAACAACAATTTAACATTAAAATTTTATTCGTTTATTTATAAATATTAATAGTATTTTGAAATAATTTATGGAAGGATGGATGTAAACAATCAAGATATTCAATTTATAAACAATTTAATGACTAAGAACTTCGGAGATAACGTACAATCCCTGAGAATTGATCCATCTGAATTAACTGACAAATGCCGTTATGAGTATCATGGCAAAATTATCAAAAAATACTTCAAGGAAACATGTGAAGTTGCTTGTAAACCAATTGAAAGCGTTGAGCGATTTCAAAACGAATTGACAGTTCTTAAGAAATTAAACAAATTTCCGAACATTTTAATTTTTTATGGTCTTTCTAAAATTGATAATTACGACGTTATGGTTTTAGAGTGGACTAAATATGGATCTTTGAAGGAGTTATACAAAAAATATGACATCACGTGGTGCAGAAAAGTACAAATTGTACTTGATATTTGTTGTGGCCTCACGTGTTTACATTAATTCAACATCGTTCATCATGACGTTAGATTAGGATGGGAAATGGGCCGGGCTAAACCTAGAAATTTGCGGGCCGGGCCGGGCTTGGGCCTAATTTGGGTCTAAATTTTTGGGCCCATTAATATTTGGGCCGGGCCTGGGTTGGGACCACTAAAATACTGGGCCGGGCCCGGGTTTTATAATCAGGCCCGATTTGGTCTAATAGGCCTACACCAGGAACGTAGTGAAATGAAGTGTATAGTTTACAGCTAACTAACTGTGTACAAAATCTTAGATCTTATTGGGCAGCATGATCTTGTCATGAGAAAAATTATTTTGTAAAGATCTACAAGTTTTTTAACTTGTATTAATCTGGTACGTATTATTCTAAATGGACTTAAAGGTTGTTGATTTAAGAAATCAGAATATTTTAAATACAATTAAGAAAATTACGTTTATATTACGTACGTACATACAAGCTATTGAGTTTTACATTAATATTTATGCTAACCTAATGCTAACTTTTTTCAGTAATTAATTTAGATCACATCTAAAATTTAAAATACTGTATACAGATTATGCTTTACTACTATGTATTGACAATCGATTTGAGTAGCATTATTTATTAGCAGACATCTAAACTTAGTTCTGTAAACCGATCTAGAGATAGATAGACTCGGTTCAACGAAGATGTTATACTGTAGTCTGTTCGAAACTGATAAACTACAGTTAGCTTTAAAACCAGGCTGTACCTGAAAAAACTGCTTTTGTTTAAGACCAGACCAGCTAGGACTAGCCCGAACCAGTTAATTCTTTAAGATTTTGAACTATTAAAAGTGAACCAGAATTGGACTGGCAGAACCCCACAGTTCAATC